ATGTACCGGTAAGAACTGGTAAGAACCGGCATGTACCGGTAAGAACCGACATGTACCGGTAAGAACTGGTAAGAACCGGCATGTACCGGTAAGAACCGACATGTACCGGTAAGAACTGGTAAGAACCGGCATGTACCGGTAAGAACCGACATGTACCGGTAAGAACTGGTAAGAACTGGTATGTACCGGTAAGAACTGGTATGTACCGGTAAGAACCGACATGTACCGGTAAGAACTGGTAAGAACTGGTATGTACCGGTAAGAACTGGTATGTACCGGTAAGAACTGGTATGTACCGGTAAGAACTGGTATGTACCGGTAAGAACCGGTATGTACCGGTATCTAGCAGGTATACAGGCAGGTATTCAGGTTCTACACAGGCTATACAAGAGATTGTGTGAAAACACAAACCAGCGGCAGCTGGTCCTGTATATCGTCGCCGTCCATCGTGAGGGCGTCCTGCCGCACGGGTAGATGAGGTAGATAAGGTAGATAAGATCGACAGAGGTAGATAGAAGTAGATAATATAGTAGATAAGGTAGATAATATAGAAAGGCAGATGAGGTAGTAAGATTGACAGAGGTACGTATATGGAGGTAGATAAAGTAGATAGAGGTAGATAAGATAGATAGAAGTAGATAAGATAGACAGAGGTAGATAAAGTAGAGAGGTAGAAAAAATAGAGAGAGGTAGATAAGATCGACAGACGTAGATGAGGTAAATTGAGGTAAATAAGGTAGATAAAATCGATAGACGTAGATAAGCTAGATAAGGTAGATAAAGTAGATATATGTAGATAGGTTATATAAGGTATATACTGCAAATAGAGGTAGATAAAGTAGAATGAAAATATACAGTAGATGAAGGATAGATACCGTAGATAAGATAGAGATAGACCAGGCACAGTAGTTGAAGGTAGATGCATGCGGTGGAATGACTTTAAACCTGCAATGGAATGACTTTAAACCTGCAATGGAATGACTTTAAACCTGCAATGGAATGATTTTAAACCTGCAATGGAATGACTTTAAACCTGCAATGGAATGACTTTAAACCTGCAATGGAATGACT